GAAAACAGAAGTAACTACCTCTCGTTAGGATATTACATATAAGGATCCAGCTAAATGTCAAAGAAAGCAGGTTTGGGGCTTTTTAGGTTGGTATATTATAACAAAGGCAGACATGGCTGTTGAAATAAGCTTTGGTAAATGTTTATGGATGAGAGCTCCAGTTCTCAATTTCCTATCCCCTACAACCTAGACATACTCTTTTAGTGAAAAGAGTTTCTCAGTTGTTGCCTTCAGACTGAACACTGGTTGAGACAGAGCAGAGGTGCAAAATCAAAACAAACAACAAAATTTATATGAGTTGTAGGGAGAGAACCACAGAGTGCTAAAAACCACGTTTGAATATCTTAAATTAGCAGCATCATAGATGGACAAATACTCCATAAATCTGAAATGATGCTTAACAAGATGATGGAGTTCTTGGCAACTTGATAAAATAATCAAGCTGACAGCCAGCTATCCCAGATCTTCTCAGTCTAAATACACATATCAGGATGGCACAATCCAGAAGAGCAGTGGAGCAATACATTCCCATAACAGCAACTATGCTTTTTGCTCCATGCTGCTGTCCCTTCTGACACTCCCAGCTCCACCACCACTCCCCTCTGCCTTCCCAAACACTCATCCATATCCCGCACAGCTTCCTCATTTCCTCAGCTGAAAAGGAAATACTGGCATTGCTGTGGATCTTGACCGCAAGTTGCCACCAATCAGCTGCTGCCCAGGGACTAGGGAGTACACTGACTTGGGAAAAAACAGTCATCACTCATCAACCGAAGGCGGTAACTTGACATGGGGCTGTCTAGCTCTATCACAACCCATTGCTTCTTGCAGCTACAGAAAATCCCATGCAACATCCCTATTTCCACAGCCCTCCCCACCTCCCCCATGCCACAGGAATGTCTGCTGCTCCCAGCCTTCGGCAGCACTACCAATATCCCAGTCCCGCATCATGGGAGGCAGCGAGTCACCACACAGCAGACCTGCCAAAAAGGCAAGACGTGGGACTGCCAGATCCAGTTGCAAACTACAGCCAGATCCCAGACTGCAGCTCTGGTGCAAACAACAAGCTGTTGGTTTTGTTTTGGGGTTTTTTTTTTGGGGGGGGAGGTGGTGGTGGTGCTGGTTAAGCTTTGTCTCTAAAGCCCCAAACTACCATGCTTACTGTAGAAAAGATGGGGAAAAACAAAACAAACCTGGCCAGTGTTCTCCTGAACTGCCACAGCACTTCAAATCAGCACATGGCAGGGGGGTTTGCTGGGGTTTTCCTCTCCCCCCCAAAAAAAAAAACTTCTTTTCATGGATTTCCCCTCTGCCCCCCAACGTTTCAAACATCAGTAATGTTAACAGTCATTAAGTTCCTTACATAATTACTTGAACTGCCCATAAAAATTGTTTTGCAGCCTGCCTGGAAAAGTGTTTTACTTCAAAAGGTGACAGATTCAGTTTATGAGCAGAAAAATGAAATCCTTTTGCCCAGCTCCTGCCAAATATAAGAAGGAATAGGAAAGAGACTGACCCCTTATTGATCAAATCAATTCTAATTACACATAGAAGACTTTTCCACAGCTTCCAATAATACACTAAGCAAGATCTACTTTATGAAATGCAAAGTCAGATAAGCAGAAAGTTCAGAAGTTTGTTGCTCAGCAACAAAGGCCAGGATTTTATATACCAAATCACCAGAGGCAGTGGAATGTTATAATTGCAAACAAACTCCAGCACTTGAAATAATAAATAAAACTAGAGGAACATATTACTTATTTAAATTTAAATTTTTTCTAAAAGAGGTCCATAAAAAGCTGTGGATAGAGTAACACAATATTACATCTAAACCATAGCAGTACTAAAATAATTGGGCAACAAAGAGCTGTTTGTTTTTTCCCTTGCAAATCCCTCTCACCCCCTCATCTTTACTATCTGAGGTGCCAGGCAATAACGTCACCAACTTCTTATGGTATGTCCCTTTCACCATCAAGAGGTGCAAACATAGCACAACTAGACACGTTAGGCCCATCTACACAAAGAAAACCAGGTTTTGGAAGAGCCAAATTTTCCCCATCCCAGCCCAATTTCTTCTGGGGGATTTCGCAATTGTTGGAAGTGTTTGACCTCCCTGTGAAACTGAATCAGGTATGGACAAGGACGGGCATATCTTACCCATTGATGCTGAACCTCACTATGCTGTTATGGTGCTCCAATGTTCACAGCCAGCCTCTAAGAGAACAAGAATACAAGCACACTGTGGTGATGCTTCCTTATTCAAGGAAATATCACTTACTGAAGACAAGGGATGAAGCTTGAGGGAGCAACCAGGTGCTGAGAATCTCTTCCCATCTATCCAAAATGCACCTCTTGAGATTCCAGTCAAGAACTAAAAGCCGGTAAATATTTCAAAATAACATCATATTGTGTCAAAACACATAGCTAAGATTACTGCAGCCTACTGAATTTGGTACACATCCAGTAGGAAACAGGTCTATACACATGAAAGCATACAACATATTACTCTGCTGAAGGTTTAAAAAGAGCTATGTTTGAGGATATCACTATTTCCCCTGGTGCTTCAGGATTCTGCAGCTGCAGAAATTCCTCTAGAAAACCCCCAAATGAGCTTAAAACTTATGCACCCATGAAAGACGTTTCCAGACAGGAATATATTATATATACACATACACACTCCATCACAATAACCAGACCAGAACACTCGCACAGGAAAGCCCCTAGCCACACTTGAACATTTTGCTGATTTAGCTGTATCGGTCAAGATTATTATTTTTCTTGCTTCCCAACTATGCCAGCAAAAACCTTACTGCAGAAGCCCTTCTAGTGGCTGCAAAATTTTTCTGTCTGCATAAACTGTTCCTTTCATAGGACTTGATTTAAGGAGCACCAGCAAGAAGCCTCCTCTTGTAGCCATAGGGGCACCTCAGGAGGAAGTGGCAAGACTGGGTAACGAAAGCATGCATGCGGGAGGGGTGAAGGCAAAGGAGAGCATTGCATCAGTCTAGCTTATGTCTACAAAAAGAGAGGAAGCAGTAACTGCCATCACACCGGATTTGTGCCAGCAGAAACTAAACTGCAAAGTCACAATCCTGCTACAAGAAGTAACAGCAATAAAATTTTACACACAGGTCAGACTGACCAACTTTATTTTGACAGTCATGACATTTCATTTTCTATTTGTATTTTTCTGTCATGTTTTCTGTATAATGTGTAATCTTGAGAAACAGACTGCCTGAAAACATAAGTGCAAGCCATTTCATTTATGTCAAGTAGATACTAACCCTATTCCCCACCAAGAGATGATTAAGTGTCAGTTGGGTTAACTGTTTCACTACTGATAAGATATATATCACCATTTCTTTGCTAAAACCTACCTCACAACTCCAAAACATCTGTAAAATCCTCTTATGGGTAAAACCATCCATTTATTATTATCCAGGAGTAAAGAACCTCTCTGCTCTTCCTAATTAACATCCTTATAATGCAGACTCATCCTGACTACATGAAAAGTACTCAACATTAAGAGTAGATAAGTGTAGGTTAGAAAACAACAAAAAAGTTTAAGACAGATTCAGTACAGTTCTAAAGACTGCCCTGTCTGTGTTTCTACTCAAATATAAATCTTCACTGTCCCTTTTTGTTTTTTTTTAAACCTAGATCTGCCGCAGGTTATCCAGCCTGCCACATCACATCAACGCAGAAATCAGGAGGGCCTGGCTGCAGAATTTAGGTCAGCTTGTCTGTGGAGTACATAAGGTCTTGCACACAGCCATGAATTTCCTAGTAATGCTTCAATAATCCCTCTTCATCCTGCTATGCAGCTATTTTACTAGTAGCTGCTAGCTTTCCTCCAACTCCCCAACAAAGACTCTCCACAGGAGGGACGTTTGCAGGCGAACGAGCCACTATCTCTTCCTTGGGAAGCAGGAAGCTGGTTGTTGAATCAAATAAATGCTGATTCTTATTTCCCAAAACAAAAAAGTTAAGGATTCCCAGTGTATGCTAGAAAAGGACTTCCCTTTTTTAGCCACACAAGGAAAGGTATAATCAGAGCTGGAAATCACCCCCAGAACATTAAGAATAATTTTCTTATTAACAGACCATCTAAACAAAACCCCACTGTTTTCACCTGGGCCAATAAATAAAACCTGTTCCTAAGGAATCTCTAAAGGTGCATAAAAATGTTTCAGAACATTATCCTTGGAGCAGGAGTTCTATTCAAACTGGAAAGCACAATTATGTAAGAAAAAAAAATATAAATAAAATACAATAAACCAAAACCTTGAACTTCTCTGACTGTCTTCATATAACAAGATGAACTAACTCTGACTGTCTTAATATAACAAGATGAACTAACTAACTCCTATAAAGTATGACAATTTGAAAGATATGACTGCAAGAATAAATACCAGTTTCCAGGAATAGTTATGGGAATCTCAGCAAATAAAAACAGAGCTAGCAAGCTGACAGTTGGTTTTTGCCTTAAAACCCATCAGTCTTCTACGTTTCCGTGCTCTCTGGGTACCATATAACATTGTGCTCCTTGGAAGCTGGCACTTAACATCTTCTTATTAGAACAAAGAATAACACTGAGAAAAAACTCTTTCATCAGGACATCAAATTGCTCTTCAGCATTCAAATATTTGTTAAGAGTATTCCTAGTGCATCCTTTCCAACTCCAACATGGAGCCTGGATATAGGTACTGGCAAACACATACCGAGCTGTACTCCACATTAGATGTTTAAATCAAATACCTTAGAAAACGTAAAGTTGCATTTGTTTATGTTTACTTCAGATCTATTACAGAACACAAGCATATAACATGCACCCATGCCAGGCACACAGATGATACGGTTGTCACTACAGGGCCACTGCTGAATCACACATGTTAGCAAGACCTTTTAAGGAACAGAACCCTTATTTTTGTAACTAATGATCATCCACAACTTCACTTCAGCTTCACATCAGCCAACTTTTCCCATTCCCAGCTCAGTACCTGATCAGGCTGCGCTTCTCCTCCTTCCTCCTCCGGCTTCAGCTGGGCTGAGCACTGGCTCCAGGAGGCTCTGGTGACGGGAATACCAAGCTAGGCGCTGATGGTCACTTTCTCATTTTGACAAGTGCCACAGACTCTTCCTGCATAAAAACAAACTGCTGTGAATCAAAGTGGCTGAATAAAGTGTTAACACTAGTGGACTGTCAGAGAAACGCCACTCTGTGACACAGAAGCAGAACATTAGTCATCCTTTTGCCACCAGTGCCTGATCTCTGGGGAAGGCTGAGCACACCCTTGTTCTAATAATTTCAGAAATACTCTAAATGAGTTGCTCTGTTACTGAAGAGCAGAGATTCCCCAAACTAGCAATTTTCCACGTATTACCTTAAACATATTGGCTCATCCAAACTTAACCAAGAGCACTGCTATTTCTATGCCACCTCTTCCCTGCACCACCACCAAAGCCAGACCAGACCCCAGTGATGTGGTAGCTGCACACTGCGTACGCTCCACACAGCGGCTTTGATCACACTTGAACTGCTGCATTACAGCAGTACGCCAGGCAAGCAGCCCACCTCAAGTTAATGAGCTGCCTGGAAACCTCTGGAAAACACCTCCATCCCTGAGACGAACAAAATGGAGAAGAAACAGGATTCTTCTCCGTCCTCCTTTAGCCCAAGACTTCCACCAGCCAAGACCCCAGCACAGCTGCCTTCATCTCCAGCAACTCAGAGGCTCCAGGGCAGAGCAGAGCCCATAGACAGAAAGCAACAACTCAGCAAAATGAACAGGCAGTTTCCAGCAGGTAATTCACGAGTATTTATTTAAGTATGCTGCTTATTAAGTATGCCTTGTTATAAATCAAGTATTTTACAGTAATTGCCTCTAATCAACAAACACCGAGAAAGCTGTCATGCAGACCGATGCTGTTTCATAGCCGAAATGAGTCCCCTGGCAACAGACACGGACTCTGTGCGCAGCAGGCTGGCTGCCACTGCCTTGCTGCCCTTCTTGTGCCTCTCCTGCCCTGGCTGCACCCCAAGCAGTGCTGCTGTGTGCCCAAGCCCTTCCCTGGCACTGCCGACCACAGCACGCTGCTGCCGGGCTGCAAACGCCAGCGCAGCAGGACTCTGGCTGCAAGGCTGGCAAGCCCTTGCCAGGAACAGGGCACCCCCCAGCACGGGGAACGCCTCGCAGACAGAGCTCAAGGGCAAGGACAACCCGCTGCATCCCCTGCTTCAGCCACCAGCCCATTGCTTCCACAGGGGTGGCGGCTGCAGCAGAGAGCTGCTCTGTTGTAAGGGTCTGCGCCCAGTGCACTCACCCACCTGAGCTGTTCCCAAGCCACTGTAGAAAAAAGAGGAAAAAAAGAAAAGAGAAAAAAAAACAAACCAACATACACACACTTCCCTCTTAATTTATTTTCCAAGGCCTTTTCAGGGTTGGCACCTGCTGGCACTTAGAAGCCCACAGGAACAAGCCCTGTGTCATGCTTTCCACTGAGAGCATTTTAAAGGTCAGCAGTTTGCAGGAACCTGCTGTTCCAGGTTTCTTCTTAGCAGTAGAGACCCAGGATAAGGAGACAGAGAAGACACTGCCAAATTTGCCAAATATGCAAATAAAATATGCATCTTAAAGAATTTCCTGCTTCAAAGGGTTCAGGGTGGTCAAGTGGTCTCAGGAAAACTAAATCCCTTTGCAGTATAGGTCACTGGAATTGGAGGTTTCAGAGACAGTTGTTTTCTAAATACGTGGAAGAAAAAAAGCTCTGACAAAGGTCTATTGCAAGCAGGTTTCAGAACAGACCTTTGGATTGTACTTGAGCTCTGACAGAAAATGCTCTTGTAGCCACAGGGCCATTCACCTTGGTTCTTTCTGTAACCTTTTTTCACAAGGTCAGAGACTCCTGTAAGAAAGGCCTAAGCAGAGCTCACCATGACCTCCAACCCCTCCTTACAACAGTTTCTGAAAACAGAAGGTAGCAGGAGGACTGCATTTTTGGAACATGCATCAGCCTTTAAGGAAAGGTGTCAAGAGAGGCCGAACACCACCACCACCACACTTGGTAAGGAATGGAAGAACAGGACAGCTTGTTGTCAAGAGTGCCATCACAATCTGAAAGACTGCTGAGGTCCGTCACCCTCCCCTTCCCAGGACAAACTTAGCACAGGAGTTGGAACCTATGTAGAGGAGAGGTAGAAGGAAACAAAAAAACCATACTGGTAAGACTCTGATTTTTTATTTATTTTTTTTAAAGATACTAAAGCAGAAATTCTCATATAAATCATATCAGTACAGAAGTAGATGCTTGTGCAGAGCCAAAACCAGTGAGGGAATCTTCCCCACAGTTTTTACCACATAAATCCTCCTGGATTTTGTTCCAAATCCCATTTGAAGAATTCTCTTTTTGCTTCTTCGCTCAGCTCCCTTCCCATGTTTGAAGTGACAACCTCAATTTATTAAAACAAAGCAATGTCTTACTTACAGAAACATCCACTCTGTTTTAGAGTCAGAATGTGGGACAGTGCATACGAAGGAGGTTAATAAGGAGCACTTGTACCATTTCTCTTATAACCTAGTCCCCTTTGGCACTCATTCCCTTTAATCCTTCTCTTTTCTTTCAGGCCCCTTTAGCATAAGGACAGACTTAGACCCCACTTACACTGGGGTGTTGGCATCAACAGTTTTGCCAGTTTTATCTGAATTACAGCCAGGCACTTGGCATTTCAGGTATAACGTGCAACCTCCAAAAGCTACATCCTATATACTGTAGCCTACATGTGGCTGCCTTCACTTCTACACTCTCTTGATCAAACATTTTTTCCGCTAAGGAAAACATTATTTGTTGCTCTTAATGGGGGTTGCATTTAACAGGGAAACAATCATTGCTAATATAGTGAAAAAAATTGGATGATGCACTTACAGAGCAAATTATTTTGAATTCTGTAAAGAAAGGAGGAGGGAAATCACAGTATTTTGAGGAAAAAGTAGAGATCTTAGAAAAAAAAAAATCAGCTAATAAAGTCATGCAGTTCATCATTAGAGGTTTAATTTCAGCAAAACTGAATAATATCAGTTTTACACATATCTCCCAGTACCCAGCCAACAGCAGACATTTGACAATCACTTTGGTTAAAATCCCGCCTTCCTCCCTTGTTGCTGCATAAGAAAAACAACAAACCACCACACAGGAAAAATGTCATGCCATCAAGAGAGAAGAAAAACCCCAAACCAGCAGAGAAACCTACTGTAGAAGTATTGCCAAAAGCAGCATGTAACCTAACCAGATAAATACCAGATTTTGTTGCTATCTCTGAGCGAGGTTTCGCAATCCGCTTAAGCTGATTTGTGGCCACCCTGCTGTCTCAGAGAGTGGTCCCCTGCAGACACGCTCCCACCCACTCCCCTGGTGTGTGCCTGGGAGAAGTGTCCAGCCCCACCAAGGCAGAGGCGAGTGGGCAGGACTTCCCCTTTCAACAGTACTGTGAGCTCAAATGTGCTCCAGCTGGTCTTCAAACCACACTCCCCTTGGAAAGCACCTTCAGCACTGCTCCTGCTCCATGGGAGCCTACAGGATCCCACTGCTGCTCCCTGCAGAGCTCATTGTCCATACTAGGCCCTTGCTGCAGCATTTCACATGCCACCCAACACCCCCTTTATTTCAGGAGCTCCCTGTAATTCTTTCCTTCTCTTTGTGGCCACCTCCTCTTCCCCTCTCCGTGAGCCAGGGGCTTATGTGTGCAAACTTCTCCCTGCTTCCCCTCTTCTGTCGCAAAAGGCAGGAATATAACCAAGACACTAACAAATCAAATCTTGCTGGGCAAGCAGGCAAAATTTCCCAGTGCTATAGGCAACCCATTGTTTGATCCACAGGCAACAAGAGATGGGGCTGCTGCTGGTAGCTCTGGTATCATATTCTTTAGCAGATAGCAAGCCACATCCAAGATGAGTTCAGACAGCAAGCCTGTAAATAAAGAGACACTGAAGAAGGCTCAACATGGCTGGGGTGACAAAAAGCAGCAGCTACCAGAGTACAGAGGGCTGCCATCCCCTCTTCACTGACAAAATAAAGATCAGAGGAGGAGCCCTGGGTGCTCCTCGCGCTGACTGGCTGCACGCTGGTTGTCAGCAGGCTGCTCTGGGACGCTGCGCACACCGACAGACTGCGACTCTGCAACACAAATCAGGCAGGTGCAAAACTATTCAGCCAAAACTCAGCTCGTACCAATTCAACCTGTGAGTTTATGGATGCCTGCTAAATTTGCTATAATGAATACAAATGTCCACACAGGGGTCCATATTACTTTGCAACACACTTGAAAGATGATTGCAAACTGGGAGAACTGGGCCATTCAGCTGTGGTCTTGAGAGCCCTGTTTCTGGAGATGACACTTGCTCAGTCAAACAAATCGAATTTGTACACTTTCCACATGCTGAACAGTACATACAACTTCACGCTTTAATATTTTATGTTTACTCATACTTATCTCAACAATTTTATCTGCTTTCCTTTGCCACACTGTTACTATTTCCTTCTGTATTTTTGCATGCCTCTCATGTTTTTATGTTCTAGCTTTACTACACAGTTTACTATTTTTGTTCTCCTGTACCTCTGGCCCCAGCAGTTTATTTCCTTAAAATCTGTTTTGGTGAAGCTGATTGATGCTGATAAGGACACTCTTAAATTCACCTTTCAATCTAGGTACATCCTAAATCAAATTACACTAAAAATAAACAAAGTGTAACCACAAGTTTTAACCACTGGTAATAGAGTCTTGTCCAAACCACTGCATCTTTCATTTTCCTGATTTATTAGTACAATTCTGTCTCATTCTTAGTCCACTCTTTTTTCGAAGAACTGCTCTTCTCCCATTATTCTCCTGTTAGACACTTTCCTGCCCAGTTCCCACTGGGGCACTAGCACTGACCAAACTCATCATTTCTGCAGCGCCAACGAGCATTTGTGTATCTGCATTCCTCCACTTCATTGTCTCAAAAGCCAACAGATTTGTTGTCAGATGGATAGGAAAGGAGAGGAGCAAAACTATCAAGCCAGTCTTCCCTTTCTGTCTGCTAATAATGCCACTGAGGCAAAACAGTAAAGAAATGTAGTATGGGTTATAAAACAGCAAAT